AAATACAAAAAATTAGCTGGGCATGGTGGCGTGTGCCTGTAATCCCAGCTACTCAGGAGGCTGAGGCAGGAGAATTGCCTGAACCCAGGAGGCGGAGGTTGCGGTGAGCCGAGATCGTGCCATTGCACTCCAGCCTGGGTTAACAAGAGCGAAACTCCGTCTCAAAAAAAAAAAAAAAAAAAAAAAAAAAAAAAATACCAAATTGTTCTTACTTAGAAAGGTTTGAATTTTTAAAAGTAGCAATTGTCAGATTTTTAAAAAGTCATTTTAGGTAGGGCATGATGACTCAAGCCTGTAATCCCAACACTTTGGAAGGCTGAGGTGGGAGGATCACTTGAGCCCAGGAGAGTGAGACCAGCCTGGGCAACACAGTGGGACTTCCTCTCTCCAAACACACACACACACACACACAGCCGGGCACAGTGGTACATGCCTGTCATCCCAGCTACTGAGGAGCCTAATGTGGAAGGATCTGGAGCCTGGGAGGTCAAGGACACAGCAAACCATGATTGTACCATTGCACTCCAGCCTGAGTGACAGAGGAGACCCTATCTTAAGCTTGCAACTTTTAATTTAACTGTCGAGATAGATCTTATTTGTATAATTCTTTTCAATCAGGCAGGTAATGATTGCAAAGTGTTTAAAATGTATTAAAGTTGTTTCAGAGATTAAACATTTTTTAAGTTATTAAAATGAAATTTTCTAATTATTAAAATATTTTTAAAAATTAGTCTGCTCCTCAGTAGACTTAGACATTTTTGTAAAGAATGGAAATGGCAAATAATTTTTTTCTTTCCTTCTTAAGTTGATGATCAATCCAGAGGACCAAGGGGGACTTCCTGATGGTTCTACAAGGCTCAGTGTTCAACCAAAAAAGTCAAAAAAGCATGTAAGTCACACGTGGGCAAAGCCAGCCAAACCCACCAGGTCCTGTTAGTTTAACAGAGCATTTCCATTATGATAGCAAGTTTCAACACATTCATCAACAAGGCAGTCTTCAAGTCAGTCAGTCAACCCCCAGAGTTTAAAAAGTAGAGCCCTGAGGAAGAGCTGCTTGGCTGTGCCCTCTAATGCAGCTAATGCCCTCTCATCCCCAGAAAGAGGGCAGACAAGGCAGAGCCATAGTCCTGGCAATTGACCAGTTTCTCATCACAGCTGAAAAGGGAGCTGCATCCCACACAGTTCTGAGGGGGAGGCCTCCTGGGAGGGGTAAGCCTCAGGGTTGGGAGTCCCAGACCGTGGATGGAAGCCCCAGCTCCAGTCCAGCAGCTGTGCCCTTGGAAGAGCAGCTTTCTCCCCTCACCCGCAAAGGAGAATTCCACAGACTATCTAGGCCTCTTTCACTGGTTTTCGTTTTTCTTTCCATTTTTTATTACAAAGCAAAATCAAGAGTTATTTAAAAAAAAAAAAAAAAAAAAAGTTCATTCCTGCAGGCTTACTTCCCCTAAACAGATACCAATTCCCTAAGAAGCCTTCCTACAAGGAAGGCACAAACATACAAGTCAAGCGGAGTTAACGGCCCTGCCCCTATGAGGGCCTTTCTGGTTCCTATTCTAGAAGGGAAATTCTGACATATGAGGTTTGTTTGGTTTCTAAGTTAACAGGCAGACGGAGGGCAGCCCGCATCATCAACAGCCTCCCACAGCACCACAGCTTTAACCCATCAGATGCCACACAAAGCTCCACTACAGACTCAACAGAGCAGGCGGAGGGAGGGCAGGCAGCGCCACGCCACGCTCCCAAAAGCGCAGCAGTGCTTCCAGGGACAGAAATGTGTCAAGACATGAACCCTCCATATAAAACCTGCCTGGAGGGTCCCTCCCGCCACAAGCACCCCACAAAGCCTCACTTTTGGACAACATCCAAATGACACATTGTCACCTTTCCTTGTGAACTCAACAGATTTCTCCAATTCAGAAAACAACTTTGTCTCTAGAATTTGAGGATCAGAGAGGATTTCAATTCCAATATAACAAGGGCAGGCTCAATTATAAACTCATGTGCAAACTCTCTTTTGTTAGAAAATTCAGTAAGGGAAGTTCAGTTGGGCTCAAGAATCTTACTTGACTTCCTAAAACACACTAATAAATTCAGATTAGGAATGGCCATCAATCCCTTTGCATGAACAAGATCTCTTGACTATCCCCCCGTGTCTGTCCAGAAACAACTGGAAAATAGATATATACTGCACTATCACCCTAGCTGACCTGGAGTCAACGGAGCCAATCAGAATTTAAGAGGATAAATTCATATAGGACAGTCGCAACCCCCCAAAACCTCTCAACACTCATCCTGACTCAGACCAGGATGTCTTATGTCCTGCAGGAGTCAGCCAAAGGGAAAGGGGGTCTCCCTAAAATGCACTCACCAAATAACATTATCAGAGCAATGGCCTCTGGGCCAGAGCAGTTTCCCCCAAACTGGAGGTAGCCATTTGTGTTAAAAGTTGTGCATTCTACACATACTGAAATTTAAAATGCATAATTAAGAAAACCCACTGGTGGTTTTTCTTGTATGCCAATAATTAAGCCACTACTACTGGCACTGTTTGGTTTTCTGTTTTAACACTGAAGGAGTGAAGTACTTCCCATATTTATGAATTCACTACTAAAATCTTGGCAAAAAAAGAAAAAAAGGGTCTAAAATGTGTGGGTGAAAACTGTTAAATCAAGTGTGTTTCTAGCCCCCCTAACTCCACCCCCTGAAAGTTGGACACCAGCTGTATACCTAAGTTGCTTAAGGGGATTTCACCATTATATGAAGTCAACAAAAATAAAGTAGTTGTATATGTGTAAAGTAGTTGTATATGTGCAACACTGTATACAGAGGGGAGATAATGACTATTAAAGAAACATTCTATCTTCCTTTACCTTTGGTCCTCTAATACCTAGTCTACTTTTTAAATTTTCAGACTTCACTGCTTTTTGAATTCCTAATTCTAAATTTCACATTATTAAGGGAAAAGCATATATAATAAAGGTTTTAGTTATTCCCATGCACAGTATGAAAACAAAGGTGGTACCTTTTATTTGTATGCACATAAGGAAAAGAACTGGCTTATTGAATCTGTGATGGCAAAGATATTCTTGCTGAGGATAAAGTAAAGTTAAAAGCTGATGGCCGGGCGCGGTGGCTCAAGCCTGTCATCCCAGCACTTTGGGAGGCCGAGGCGGGTGGATCACGAGGTCGAGAGATCGAGACCATCCTGGTCAACATAGTGAAACCCCGTCTCTACTAAAAATACAAAAAACTAGCTGGGCGTGGTGGCGTGTGCCTGTAATCCCAGCTACTCAGGAGGCTGAGGCAGGAGAATTGCTTGAACCCAGGAGGCGGAGGTTGCGGTGAGCCGAGATCGCACCATTGCACTCCAGCCTGGGTAACAAGAGCGAAACTCCGTCTCAAAAAAAAAAAAAAGAAAAGAAAAGATAAAAGCTGACTTAGAAAATATACTGGGACAAAAAAGCAGTATGCAAACGATGTGAGTTTGAGATAAGTATACAAAAGGTATGGAGCCCTCCTCCATGACAAACACATCCCTGCAGCCAATGGCTTCATAAAATTTCAGTTAAAATTTTATTTGTCTGCATTTTAAAAGTTTTACTTATACAATGATTTTTATGTAAAACAGAAACAAGGAAGTTCTCATGGACCAATGCACTAAATAAAGAGCCTTATCTAACTACACAGAATGCCAAGAAAATCCACCATCATGGGCATCCTAACTCCTAGCCGGAGGCAAGGCCACATCCAGCTTTATGACTTGTACAGACCACCCTGTGTAACACACAACATAAATCAGTGCTCTACTCTTTACACAATCAAAACAGAAGAAAATAGCCTGAGCTCAAGAGACAGCAGCAGTGCGCAGGTGGTGGGCTAATCTTACCTAGGAATAGATTGATTTCGTCCTCTTTATTCTTGTCTACATTACTGACTTCTGCTTCCCTTTCCTTATCACCACCAGACAGTACCAGCGTCTTAACTACCCAAACAACAGGGTGGGGTAATGTAATGAAGGGAATGTGCCACTAGCACAGAAAAAACTCAGAACCATGAGGTGAATTTAGCCATCCCATTTAAAGCCTGAACTGTGGAAGCCTAGTGGAGCAACTATTTCTCAAATACGTTACATTCAGGATCAAAAATTGTGTTAAATTGTTCATGAACTTCAAACTGCTCTCAACAGAAGGACCAAAGGACTATGAAGGACCAAATCAACATTCATTATAAGTACGTGGGCCAAGTGCAGTGGCGAATGCCTGTAAATTCTAGCACTTTAAGAGGCTGAGGCAGGAGATCTTGTCTCTACAAGAAATAAAAAAATTAGGTGGGCAGAGTGGTGCATGCCTGGTGGTCCCAGCTGCTCAGGAGGCTGAGGCCGGAGGGTCACTTGGTCCCAAGAAGTCGAGGCTGCAGTAAGCCATGATCGTGCTACTGCCCTCCAGCCTGGAAGACAGAGCCAGATCCCGTCTCAAAATATATATATATAGACAGACAGACAGACAGACAGACAGACAGACAGGCTTACCACAAACGACAGCACTTTTCTGTTCTTTTTGTCATGACTACCCATTCTTCTGGGCCTTATGAAAAAAGTGCTTGCTGTACCATATTCAATGAGAAATCACTTTCCTCTTAAATGTTTCTTGGTAATTCACTACTAGTGCCTTGTGAAATGAGTCTCTGAACCTGCAAATATCCTACGCTGCCTCTGCAATTTAACCAGTGCCGAGCTCAGCAATGACATCGTAAAAAAATTTCAGTTGTTTTTTTCCAAAGCTGTAAAGAGATCCTTCACCAGCGAGGGGAGCCATTGTGTTTGCGCAGGAGTTGTTCCCAACACTGCTGCGTGCTGCAGCCCGCCACCGTTCTCCATTTTCTGAAGACTGCCTTTCTTAACTGCTAGAAGGCACTCGCGTACTAAGAAAGAGATTTAAGGTGGGTTAACTATAGTAGCTGTATGTTAAATATTGCTGTAAAGACACACTTTTTTCATACAATTATTGTTAATAATTTGAAGATGTTTATTGCATTCTATTTTTGGTGGGAAAAAATGTAACATACATTTATTTAGCACGACATTATGAAATACACAAAACATGTAACTGAGTCAGCAGAATTTTTCTATTCCTAGTCCATCTCTGAGGACTGAATGATGAACTGCTCCCAATGTCATTAAATATGTCTTGCAATAGTTGGGCACCAAGTTTAAGATTAATTTTCTCCTCTCAGTATAGGCAGCAATTCACCATTTTCTTTCAGTTCCTAAAAATAAAAAACAATAATAATATGTATATGCATATATGAAAAGATGAAAACATCTAAAAATCACAGCTTGTATGTAAATCTGAGAACCAAAAGAAACACCTATTGGATTAAAACTCCAGTCTTTTAACATTCTCCAACTAAATAATGCCATAAAAATTAACAAGGTATTCTTGGCCGGGTGAAGTGGCTCACACCTGTAATCCCAGCATTTTGGGAGGCCAAGGCGGGAAGATCACCTGAGGTCAGGAGTTCGAGAGCAGCCAGGCCAACATGGTGAAACCCTGTCTCTACTAAAAGTATCAAAATTAGTCAGGCATGGTGATGGGCGCCTGTAATCCCAGCTACTCGAGAGGCTAAGGCAGGGACAATCTCTTGAACCCGGGAGGCGGAGGTTGCAGTGAGCTGAGATCAGGCCATTGGCACTCCAGCCTGGGCTACTGTGAGACTCCATCTCATAAATTAAATTAAAGTAAGTAAGTTAATATATCCTAAAACCAACAGATTGTTTAGTATTAAGAAATGCAGCAAATGGAGCTAATGAGCCCCATATTTAAACTATAGCAATAAATAAGGAAAATAAATCAAATGACTTTCAAGGCTGAAGAATGAAGCAATGTGGCTAGGTGCAGTGCCTCACGCCTATAATCCCAGCACTTTAAGAGGCCAAGGCGGCAGATCACTTAAAGTGAGGAGTTGAGACCAGCCTGGTCAACGTGACGAAACCCCGTCTCTACTAAAAATACAAAAACTAGCCAGGCAGGCATGGTGGCATGTACCTGTACTTCCGGTTACTTGGGAGACTCAGGATCGCTTGAACCCAGGAGGTGGAGGTTTCAGTGAGCCAAGATTGCATCACTGCACTCCAGCCTGGGTGACAGAGTAAGACTCTGTCTCAAAAAAAAAAAAAAAGTAATGTGACGTTAAAAGCCTACTCAAATATGATGCTTGTTCCCCTCCCACTCTGCCACAAAGAGAGGAAACAGCCTTGGCTATTGAAACCCAACCTGGGAATACTTTTCTGTCTCAGGAAAAGCTATAGTACCGGTAACATGGAAAGGCAGAAACCATTAAAAAGACCTAACAATTCAGAACAGACAGGGTATCAAAAGAGCTACCGCTAGCTTGACTGGAACTACAGCACAGGCTCTACGCAGGGTCCACGCTCCTTGTGCCTATTTTCCAGATTTAAAATCTGGAGTATAGACACCAAGTTTGAAAGGTGACAAGTGATAAATAAGATTTTCTGGTTTAAAACAAACATTTAATATGATATAACACTTCAGGTTATCACTGAGCTGCATAAACATCTATCAATAAAACCGTTAAAATCCACATGACCTCCTCTCTGGATTAAAATCCAATAGGAATGATGCTGTCACACCAAACCCAGACCACTTTCGGTAATGTCTAGGGATCTTCTACCTATTTAACGAGCACACACCCTGCCGCTCCAAGGGACCCAGCAGGACTTTTAAGAGGACATATTCAAGAAGGCAGAGGACCATGCAGCTCAGTGGGAAAGGGCGGGTGGCCCTCAGGAAGACTCTGGACTCAATGGCTTACTGGTTATGGGATGGTGGACAACTCATCTGACCTCTCCATGTCTCTGTTTCCTCATCTACTGACTGAGAAGAAGAATTCTGCTCTCTGAGGCTGCTTGTACATGAAGCAGCCTCTTAAAAGCACCAAAGCAGTGTTCCTGGCCCATTGAGGGTGCTTCAAAAAGGCAATCCTCACCATCCTCAGTGCTGTTAATGTGAGCCAGCAGGTGGAACAGCTAGACCTAACCAAATCTTCTAACTCTCTCTCAACAAAGTGTCTTAAGTCCAAACATTCTGTAACAGCAGTAGTGAACTGTTTAACCTTCAGAGGCAAGAATAACTCACAATTTTCTCAGGACAGTAGATTGACCAAGTAACTAAGTCATTAGTTATTCACTCATTCAACAAAACAAATGCTCATTTCTCCAAAGAGGCCACGCAGATTAGACCGTTTCAAACATCTTTTAACTGAACTAACCATGAATTACTGCATTCTGCAAGAAACAGATCAAAATGGCATCTAAGAGCCAGTCCATATATCTTCTCAAGGAAAAATGTTAACAATATCACACATTTCAAATGTGTATGTTCTTAGCAGGTAAACATAACAAAATCATATAACACTCTGTTATATAACTAAAAAGAAGTTACCCACGCAGCTTAGCTTTAGAATTAAATGAGATTTATTGATTGTATCTTCCCAAGAGTTACCAATGGCTAAGGTACAGGCTATAAAACATTCAGACAAGAACAGGCTCAACAGTATTTGGGGTTTGAGTACTGTTTGTGTCTCACAAAAATAAAATTATAGAGAGAGAGAGAGAGAGACAGAGAGCGAGAGAGAGGGAGGGGGACAAATGCAGATCTGTTTTAACTGCCCTGAAGGCTATTCAAGAGCTATAGTATTAAACATTTTTTCCTCCAGGACTGAGGCCGCTCCCCGGGAAATATGTCTCACTGGCTGGTTTAACAAGTGTGATATCAAGCCTGAGACTCCACAGGAAACAAGACCTGCACAGAGGCAACCACAGAACAAAAACAGCCTCTGCAATCAATGGAGCTCAAGCTTTGTTTCTACAAAACAACTGGTCCAAAAAAGTGCTGATGTGATTTCGATGGTAGGCTAGTGCCTTCACTTTACAAAAGCATGTGTTAAAAACTTTTACTCTGGCCGGGCATGGTGGCTCACGCCTGTAATCCCAGCACTTCGGGAAGCTGAGGTGGGTAGATCACCTGAGGTCAGCAGCTTCACCATGGCCAATATGGTGAAACCCCATTTCTACTAAAAATAGAAAAATTAGCCAGGCAAAGTGGCGGGAGCCTGTAATCCCACCTACTCAGAAAGCCGAGTCAGGAAAAACACTTGAACCTGGGAGGCAGAGGTTGCAGTGAGCCGAGATCATGCCACTGCACTCCAGCTGGGTGACAAGAGTGAAACTCTGTCTCCAAAAACAAAAAACTTATTTTACAACATAATTAGAAGCAGTACCACTTTCCATTTGTTTTCCACATAAAAAGTCAAAGATCTGACCTCAGAGAAAATTCTCTAATGGATCAAGGCAAGAGGAAGGCCTGAGGGCAGTCAGCAGCCCATTTTTTGGGGCAGTTTTGTTCATGTTCCCAAGCAGAACCTGACATTCCTGCCCAGCATTCATCGAGCTCCTCTCTATACCCATTTGGCTACCACCCTCCTCCTTGACACCACCATGTCCACAGTGGGCCTGGGGTGCAGTGAAGGGTTTGTGGGTAGATATTAAAGCTACAGTTTCTGTTTATTGTTTTGGGCTAATCAAGAGAGCTATGGAGTACACAGTTGCTAGTCGGTGAGCCTGCCCTAAATTCTAGACATTAAATATAAGCTAAGTCACATCCCATTTAAAACTCAATCAAAGTTTACTTGCTTTAAAGCAAGCAGTAAATTAAAGTCACTTATCCATCTAACAACCATTTACTGAACTCCTAAAATACACAAAGCATCAGGAAGAACTCGAGGTATTTAAGAAATGGTGTCTTCTCTAAAACGCTTACAATCTAACAGATAACAGATTTCCAAACATCTGAAAACCAAAAAGGGACTACACTTCCAGGGGCAGTGATCTTCAGTCTCTGTGGCATGGAGGGGCAGCACTGGGTCACAGGCCTCACACTACTGTCCCTCCACACACCCAAGGGCAGGTGAATAAGGCAAGAAAAAAATAATTTGTTGGCCGGGAGCTGAAGCCGGATCTAACAGGGTGACAGGGAAGAGCCCCCATGGAAAGGAGATGCAGTGGCTAGTTCAGGTGTGGAAGTAAGAACAGGCTGCCACGTGGGGACAGTGAGAACAGCAGGATACTGATGCACACAGAAATGGTGATACTGGTCCAGAAATGCCTGAGAGTCAGGCTGGACAGAGGAGTCAAAAATAACTCTCACGTTTCCATTCAGGAAATAACTTTTACACATACCAAAATCTTTTCTGTTCTGTGGAAAAGCAAAAGAGCTAGCCTTACCTTCACGATATCCAATCCTCCCACCAGCTCCCCTTTCACATACAGCTGAGGGTATGTTGGCCAATTTGAGTAAGCTTTTAATCCCTGCCGAACCTAAAGAAACAACAGGAATCCTGAAACCATCCCATCGGACCCTTATGATTCAAGCTAAGGCAAGGGTGAAACATCAAATACAAAACTTACTTCTTCATCCTCCAATATATCGAATGTTTCATATTCAACACTGCAAAAAAGAGAAGACATTTTAACAGGAAATACAGTTGAATAAAAATTGTAAAACCTTTATGCATTTGATATTTTTTAAACAATCAAGAAAACTACTTCATCGACAACAAAATGTACTATAGACCAATGGAAATGATTTTACTTCTTAATCTGCCAAGTACTACACAGAATTAGTCATTCCAACATATGACTTTATCTGGACTTTTCTCCAGACAATACTGGGTTAGACCAGGAGTGAGCAAACTTTTTCTTGAAGAGTGTGACAGTAAACATTTCAGGCTTTACAGGCCAGAGAGTCTCTGCTGCAAAGGCTCAGTTCTGCTGGACAGCACAAAAGCAGCCACCGACAACGTTTAAATGAAGGGATGTGGCTGTGTGCCAATATAACTTTATTTACAAAAATGGGCAGCCAACTGCAACCTGCCAACCCCTGGGTCAGACTGACACACCCACTGCACAGCCTTCATTAACTGAACACTCTCACCCACTTCTCGTACCTGCCCACCCCAGGCTGCTGCTTCTTAACCTCCTGGAAGCTGCTCGGGGAGCAGGATGTAGTGCCTGTGGATGGAGGCTGTAGGGGCTCGGCAGCCAGACGACACCCACACTGCCAGCTCCCTCCACCTTAGCAAGACATGCTCTCCACACTTAAATCAACTCATGTCAGAGAGGGTGCTGTTTTTAATGTACAAAAGACCAATGAAAGCTTTGTGGCTTTAAGCTGTACAATGAACGTTACTTGTACAAAGAATGAAAAATCACTGCATGAATATCCAATTGTATCTACTCAGAGTGATTTCACTGTTAGCTAGTCAGGGATTAGCAAGCATGTATGCCTAAATCCTTGCAGGGTGACTGACGGCACAGGTGCAATTCCCAAAGGTGGCGAAAGAAAATGCTACAGGTAAAAAACCAGACTTTCCATAAAACTAAAACCATCATAGGGAAATCTTGTTTATTTAGTAAACAAGTTCCCAAGGAAACTGTCTATGGGTGTGGGGAACAGTCAAAAAACTTAAATGAACAGATAAATCAGAAGCAATTACCAAAAAATAACAGGAATTCTAAAAAAAGAGCAAAAAAAGACCCAATGTATTTAAAAAAAAAAAAAAACCAATGTAACTCTTCGCTCAAGTTGAACTAACTAAAGGTGGCAACTCTCCTCACACTGTGATAAAAACAATGAGTTATAGAACTATTCATAAAGGCCCAGGAAGCGCTGAGCCCAAGTCTATGTACGTGGAGTCCTAACAGCCAATACACTTCCTAAAAGTTACTCGTAAAGGGTCCCTTTCAAATCTCAATATATACTTGGTTCTCAGCCCCTCATGCATGTGAATTTTGGCTACTAAAGGTAAGAAATGAGAAAAAGTAAAAGAGAGCTTTCTCCACATACTTATGATCCCCAGCAAGAGCATGGTCTGTTCAAATTAAAAGAAGCTGAGGTCCTGGACGGTCTCACTCATCCTAGAGCCAATCATGCTTAGCAAGTCCAGAGCTGGGAGGTCATTCTCTCCCAAGGCAGCTTCCTGCTCTGGGACAACAGGGTGCTTTCAATACAATGAAGATTAGACAGATAAAGGCAAGAAAGCCAAGTTACCAAGATGTTCCACCAAAGACACGGGCTGGGTCAGGCCCACTGTGTTGGCTCAGAAGATAGTTGTGCCCTGAGGAAGCTGGTGCTGCTCTGGAGGATGAACTGTGTATCTCACTGTGGACCGTAGCAGAGGGTCGACAAAGAAAGGGGGAAATCAAAAATGACAAAAAGCAAGCCAGCCCCTACTGTATGGCCCAGGCCAGGGATGAAGAAAAGAGCAGGCTTGAAGTTACAATAAACTGACTGTACTTGCCTCTATAAAATGTCACAATAATCTGAAGAAATCAACGACAACTTTTTATTTTTTTTAGACAGAATCTCGTTCTGTCACTCGGTTGGAGTACAGTACCACAGTCTCGGCTCACTGAAACCTCTGCCTCCCAAACTCAAGTGATTCTCCCGCCTCAGCCTCCCAAGTAGCTGAGATTACAAGCGTGCACCACCACACCCGGCTAATTTTTTATTTTTAGTAGAGATGGGGTTTTACCATGTTGGCCAGGCTGGTAGATCAAACTCCTGACCTCAAGTCATCTGCCCGATCTAATGGTAGCTTTTAGCTACAGTTACAATACATGATTTTTAAAAGATGCAATCATGAAATAATGAGAAACAAACAAAAGTATCTGACAAACCCTGTGCTAAATATCTCCAAAGAGTTTTGTTTTTAACCACAAAAATCAATGGCAATGTTCTTTTTTTTTTTTTTTTTTTTTTTTTTTTTTTTTGAGACAGAGTCTCGCTGTGTCACCAGGCACCAGGCTGGAGTGCAGTGGCGGGATCTCAGCTCACTGAAACCTCCTCCTCTTGGGTTCAAACGATTCTTCTGCCTCAGCCTCCCGAGTACCTGGGACTACAAGCGTGCGCCATCACGCCCAGCTAATTTTCGTATTTTTTAGTAGAGATGGGGTTTCAACACGGTCTCGATCTCTTGACCTCATGATCTGCCCGCCTCAGCCTCCCAAAGTGCTAGGATTACAGGCGTGAGCCACCGCACCTGGCCTAATGGCAATGTTCTTACCTGACAGTTTCACCACTGAGCACATCGAAACTAACAGCAACTGCAATTTAACCTGCGCTACTTTGCAGATCCAGGTAACCGACCTTAACGTGCGTCCCTTCAGTGTTCCGTATTGTTTAGCAACTATGATAGTTGAGAAAAATTTAAAACTACCTATATTATCCCTGAAATAGCTTCATGCATAGTGAGAACTCAGTTATTCACTTTCCTCTGGGAAAGTAGACAAAATAGTTATTCCAAAGGTTGCCTAAGGACCTCCTTTATGTTACTAATACTATGACACTGGCCAGAAAATACCATTTTGGTCTAAGTTAAGACATTCACAAAACAATACAGCAAAATATAACGAAAGATACAAATATTTATGGATAGATACAGATATTACAACTGAAAACCATCAATGGCAGAACTGAAAAGTTAGAATATTTGGTTTTTTTGAGACAGGGTCTTGCTCTGTCACCCAGGCTGAGTCCAGTGGTGCAACCACGGCTCACTGCAGCCTCATCCTCCAAGACTCCAGTGATCCTCCCACCTCAGTCTCTCAAGTAGCTGGGACCACAGATGTATGCCACCATGCCTGGCTAATTTTTTTAATTTTTTTTAGAGATGGGGGTCTCACTATGTTGTCCAGACTGGTCTTGAACAGCTGGACTATAATCCTCCTGCCTTGGCCTCCCAAAGTCCTAGGATTATAGGCGTGAGCCGCTACACCAGGCCAGGTTAGATTTTTTTAAATACATCATTTGAAAACAACATTTACATACCCAGTACTATTTAGTATTTCCAGAATTTGTTTGCTGAATCCACATTTTGCTTCCTAGATAAAAAGAAAAATTTGCAAAGATTACATTTTTTATATGACCCAAGCAGCATGGCTATACCTAATGCTCTGCAGACCAGCACAGCACTTGTCCGAGTAGCTGCCACTACTTTTACTTAGTTGCCAGGGCTGTTTCTCATCCCCTCTTCAAGTACAAACCCAGCTACACATCAACCCAGGCACACGTGACTCACAGACTTCGGTTTGTAACCACTTAAGATGACATGTGTTCCAACAGTTTATCATCTCTGTGGTCAAAAAGTTCCTCTAAGTGAAAGCTAGATTTTCTACAGAAATGTCAGTTCATTCTTTACTTCACTCACACAAAATGATCTTAACTCACTTAGCCGTTTTGCAATGATTATGACAATCATTTTCCCATTTCCAACTGGACCCTGACTCCCATGTTTCTTTTCTTTTGCCTTTTTTTTTTTTTTTTCTTTGAGACAGAATCTCGCTCTGTCACCCAGGCTGGAGTGCAGCAGCACAATCTCAGCTCACTGCAACCTCCATCTCCCAGGTTCAAGCAATTCTCCTGCCTCTGCCTCTGGAGTAGCTGGGACTATAGGCGCGAGCCACCATACCCTGCTAATTTTTTGTATTTTTAGGAGAGACGGGGTTTCACCATGTCAGCCAGGATGGTCTCCATCTCTTGACCTGGTGATACGCCCGCCTCAGCCTCCCAAAGTGCTGGGATTATAGTGGTAAGCCACCATGCCCAGCCTCATTTTATTTTTACATTACAGAATACTAACACTTTTTTGAGGTTATGAAAATCTTAAGCTTTTTTTATGCCACAGGACTCCAAATTCCAGCACTCCTGTAGAAAAGATATGGTACCATGTAAACAGTTTAATAGCCCTAATAATACTGTTTCCAAAATGTATTAATACTTTCTAGGCTTACAGAAAAAAAAAAAAAAAGTTTTGAGAATAAATATCCGCTTAAACAATCACCAAGAATAAGAAAAAAATGTCACTTTATCATTACTAGGAATTATTAATGTGCTCTACTGTTTCAATACACTGAACTAAAATCAAATAATCTAGGCCTTAACCTAATGATCCCAAATATGCTGAAATGTATATTAACATTTTCTTTGTTAGTTACTTTCTTTACTTAATTACATTCACGAATTAGTTATGTTAACTAATTAGCTTCATTATAACTAGTTATATATTAGTTATGTTAACTAATTAGCTTCATTATAACTAGTTACATTAACTTACACACTAGTTACGGCAACCAGAGTCTGCCCTGTGAAGAAGTGTAGTGTCCCTTTACCAGTGAGGAAAGTTAGCTTCTCCATGTGTTACTTGCTCAATGCAACCCGGCTAACAAGTGAAGTATTTTCCTTATTCCAGCAGCCTCACCCTTCAGAGCTTTAGTTTCTTTATCTCTAAAACAGGCCAAACTCTGTCCAACCTTGCCTCCTTCAACAACTGATTGAGAATTAAGTAGAGGTTCAATTGCTACAAAAACTACAAAATTAGATATATATGTGTATGGCTGGTTTCTGGAAATTACCACTCTGATCTCAATCTGAAAGAAAATTAGTTTTGCTCAAGCTATTAGTGGAAGTAATCTATCAAACTTGATATTCAAAATGATGCACAATCCATATGCACTTTCGTCAAAAAGCTACAAGAATCATCCCATTACAAATGAGGATTGCTCATCATTTCACTCATTCATCAAACACACACACAAAGCATACCTGCTACACAGCCAGGGTTTGCTCCTCCACTGTCACTCAAGGACAATCAGGGGGTGCAAACTCAAGCACTGGACATTCAGGAAGTCCAGTGACTCAGCTCCACACTCCAGCAGTCCACACACTCAAACAAAAGGTAATGAAATAGCAATTCACACAACCAGTAAAGTGTTAACAGTGTTGACCACGTTAGCTGACAAAGTTTGACAGTAGAAAGAAATGCACCCCACTGAGATGTTGATGATAAAGTCAAGCAAAATGTAGATTACTTTGCTTGATCTCCGTAAGCACCAATTAAGGCCTGGATAACTTCCTGATACCGCTACAGCTTCATTAGCTAAAGCTAGGAAAAAGAGATTTAACTGTCCCCTTGTTGCAGACGTTAACATGGAAAGAAATTACAAATAAAACCATTTTTGAGTTCTTTACCTGTTTGTTTCCTTTCATAAAGAGCATCACAGAAGCTTTATTTGTCAGCACTTTGAGCCTGAAGAGAGAAAATTGATATAAAATGGCTCAACTCAATTATGCAACACTACTTTTCCTCTGCTTCGTGAGTAACATGCATATTTGAGGAATGGCAGGATGACAGTTCACAGCTTTGAGTGGTATTAAACAAGCAAATGCACTGACATTTTCCTTGATTTCATTCTCTCCCTAAGCCACTGTAAAACACAATATGGCTTTTAAGGCAATGAATGTTCCTTCAAGTTGCAATTTAAGCCCATCAACTCACAGTAATAAAAAAAATAATAATAATAACCAATTCAGTAAGGAATTGTTCAGTAAGGGGCTTATATATTAAGCCTATCCAAAACTTCCAGAACTAGATCTTGTGTGCACCATCTTCCATCATGATGCTGCATACCACTGTACACATATAAAGCTCACAGGGTCAGACTGCAAGGTGACAGCGTTAAATAAACCTCAGAACATCAGCTAATGCTAGCTACTAAAATCAAATGCTCTCAACGTTATGTTTTATATTTCATATAGTCTTTCAAACATCATCAACTAACGTGCTGTCAGGAATTTTAATTATCTGTATACAGCCACAAGTTTAGTCACAAATCTCAAGAAAGTCAGTGTTGGGACAACGGGTCACTAAAGAACCTATGCCCCATGGGGTCATGCCACCATGTTCTCCCGACTCATGGCTTAAAAATCTCCTTATAAGCTCATCCCAAATGAAATGCATAAATCACGCACAAAGCTCTATCACTTACATTGCCAACCGAGTAAGATTAGCTCAAGTTCGGAAAAACATAAACAGATACAGGAATACAACAGTGACCCTGACAACCCAACTAACCCAGCCACCTGGACACAGGGAACCACAGGTCACAATGTACTGCCAAAATACATGTCACAGTCCACAAACTCCACCTCCTGCACTCTGCTGCTCACTCAGAGCCCTTCAAATTATTACTCAAAATATGCTGAATTTTACTTTCTACATAATTCTAGCCAGTTACCTTTTGGTGTCTGAAAACACAGGAGATTTAGAAGCAGCAATTAGGAAAACGGAGGTCTGACGGAGACAAGGCCATAAGCAGCAGCAAGTGTACTCAGCAGAGAAGGAAAATCAGCTGAACAGCAAACACAAGCATAGAAAAAGCGCAGCTGTCCTTGGAGACCACACAGCCTCCATGGGCCAAGGGCATCACCAGGCTACAGCCAAGAACCACACATGAAGACAACCAGAGTCAACAAAGGGATGAGGAGCATCACTTTCTCATGAAGAAGGCAGGAAATGGTGCAAACCACAGGACAGAACACAGCACTCAAAGATCAGCCTGACATATGGGGAATGGAATGTGGTTTATAGAAATTATTAATTAAGGACAGACAAAGGAGGCATTTATTACTATTAAACACTTTTAGAAATTCTCAAGATGTTACATGGCAAAAAAAAAATTACCAAAGGAAGATTTACAAATCGCTGATTGCTGACAGAACAAATTCCTTTTTAAAGTTCTATATTAATTCACATTTACTGCAATAAAAATCCCATTAAGTCACCTTACACACCAAAGTCCAACATTTCTGTAAGAGAACTTCTCTAAAAGCCCAGTGAGATCCTTGATAAACAAACAGAGGTTTCACAGCTCCAGAACCTGCTCGTGTAGTGCCCAAAGCTTACTGCGAGTTGATGAGCTTTTCGCTCTCACCACTTGTCAGTGCCCTGGCATTGGGGCAGCCCCCGCAGTAGTCACCAAGGCTGCACCCAGGAAAACACGAGTGCGCTGAGGTTGCGTGAAGGAGCAGTGACAAGAAAACTGGACCCTGGCTCTGAAATGCAGACAGGTAAGCAAAATTTGGTTGTTCCACAGAAACAATGACATTTCTATAAAAGCAAAGAGTATCCTCCACATGATCACTAAGTTGGTGCTAAAATTTCTCCAATCCAAATTAGATCTGCCCATATTTGCATGGCTAGTTTGATTGTAAACAACAAAATTATGACCTCTGGCATACAATACCAAATCCTTGATTTCTACACAGAAAGAGCAATGCAAAACCTGGGGACTTTAAAACATTTTTAACATATTAAATGATAGGCTATTTGAAAGTTTCTAAAGCACTTACCTTTCCTCTAATTTGGGGGCTTTGGGACAAATTTTATCTAATTCTTCAGATGCTTCTAGCTCCTAAAATAAGCACACGTCAGTTTTAAGAAAAAAATGTATTATAACATAAATCTCCTTGATCATACCATAACACAGAATACTGATCAATCAACTAATCAGAAATACTGTGTATTCATTGCAAGTTCTTATTAGTAAATACAGATTCATAGAAATTTGTACCCTAGATTTATTACAAAATTTTAAACAGTATGCTTTAAATAGAATTTCTTTACAAGGCACAAACTTCTCAATTCTAACCTTAATTATATCAAGTCCTCCTATGAGCTCTCCAGAAACGTAGAGCTGAGGATAGGTAGGCCAATTGGAATAGGTTTTGAGTCCCTGTCGAACCTCTTCATCTGAGAAGATATCAAAACTGCTAAACTGAATATTATGTTTGTGAAGAATTTCCACCATCTGCTTGCTGAAACCTGTACGCAAAAAAAGAAAATAAAACACTTAGCTTCTCTCTCTCGAAACACATACACATGATAATACATTAGTTCAGTATACATATGATCTACTGGACATACAGACACCTGCCTCTTACTTTTGCCGGTGATTTAATTAGCATGGCTGACTGGTATACACAAAGAGAAAATACATTCCTGGATCCCCTTATTTGACCTTGAACCGTATCAGACATTCAGTTATGACCTAACTTTTTGACACAACTGTGAGTATTTAAAAAAGTGGTGTATCGGAGGGCCGGGCGCGGTGGCTCAAGCCTGTAATCCCAGCACTTTGGGAGGCCGAGGCGGGTGGATCACGAGGTCAAGAGATCGAGACCAACCTGGTCAACATGGTGAAACCCCGTCTCTACTAAAAATACAAAAAATTAGCTGGGCATGGTGGCACGTGCCTGTAATCCCAGCTACTCAGGAGGCTGAGGCAGGAGAATTGCTTGAACCCAGGAGACTGAGGTTGCGGTGAGCCGAGATCGCGCCATTGCACTCCAGCCTGGGTAACAAGAGCGAGACTCTGTCTCAAAAAAAAAAAAAAAAAGTGGTGTATTTATTAAAGCTCCTCTTCATTATCCCGGACATTTTTTTTTTTGGGGGGGGTCACAAGAGAAACTGCACTAGCCAAAAAGCAGAGACCTGGGAGTGATGGTGCACACCTGTAATCCCAGCAACTGGGGAGACTGAGGCAAGAGGATCACCTGAGCCCTAAAGTCTGAGGCTGGAGTGAGCTCTGAGACTGCCACTGCACTCCAGCCTGCAGTCTGAGTAAACAGCAAGACCCTGGCTTTAAAAAAAAAAAAAACACACACACACATACACAAATCTGAATCTGTGACACCAGCTCCCTCCACCCACCAAGGTGACACATGAGGCCATGGCCTCCACTCAGCACTTTCCTAGCAATCAGGAGAGTGACCTGACACTCTGGACAGGCCCTCCCAGCCTTCCTATTGTGAATCTATGAGAATCAACTCTGCGCAGAGGAAAAAAAATTCTACAATTGTTATTTTAACTACTTGACTATACTGAAAACCCAGTGTTTGTTTCTACTGCCATTTTACTACCTCCTGAGTACTCACTTCAGTAGTGCTCAATCTTCACTATCTCTAAGCAGGATAAATTAAAAATCATGAAGGATGTGTTCTGTAGTCTAAAATAGGCACAGTACAATGAATTTTAAAGCTATCTTCTCTGTTATATATGAACCATCAATAGATTGACGGTATTCTTTCTCATCTCATGTCATAACTTGACAGTTTCTTTTTTAAAACTATTTACATTCCCTAAAGTATGTAATGTAATTTTTTTACTATACTATAGTGGCAATTTTATGTTCCATGATTTTATTATACTTTTGTGACACATTTTTATTCTGTACTTTTTTGACATCATCTTATTATGATATTAGAACTGAAGAATAAGAGTGTGAATATCAGTCTTTTATAAATCTATTAGTCTAGTCTGAAAAAAAAAAGTATTTTTCTTTCCATAAGCTAATTCTTCTCCATTGTTCCCAATACTTTGTATGGCCCTACTCTTTCACGCCTCATTCTTCTTCTCAAACACAGTTGTAATTCACTGGAAAAGAACCTATTCTTCAGATTCAAAATTTCTATAAGACTTAGCAGGGTCAGCAATTATTTTTAAATACAATGAAACCATAAAATTCAATATAAGATTAATTGCAAGAATGGGCTTTACCTGATGTCACCCAAAATCACATTTTCTAATAAAACATGGATCTACAACTGAGCTGTAAACATTTCTAAATCTGCAGTTTATTGAGATGAAGCACTAGTATTTATTTGTACAGCATGTAAGTTGCTTTTCCTACATCTGAAGTGTTAAGTTCATGTACAGCCTGAAGTAAAACACTGATTCTGAAATTTTTTTATTCATCTGGGAGTTCATTAGTAAACAGCTAACGGCTGATTGCTGATGGTTATTCTGTTGCCAATATATTAACTTATTTTTACTGTAACTGGCTGAGAAAAAAGCTTTATTTTAGCTTTAGGCAATTACATGCAGACTAGAAAGATTGATTGGTAGTGTTTCATTTTTAAGGGTTAAAGTGGCAGACTAGAAATGTTATGCTTAAGGATAAGATGGCAAGAAGGCTTTATTCTAATAACAAAATATTTAAACACTTTTTTAAAAGAAAAATGCATGCATGCAATAAAAACATTTAAATGTAGAAATGTGATGTTTAACTACCACAGAATCCCCATTTCCATCCCCAGCCATTTCTACTCATGACATGAATAGGTGCCTAACACCACATCTCATCACTACCTAACAATAAACTCTAAAAAACATCTCTGAAACCTGCTGATTTTGTGGCTGATTTAAAAGTAAGAGCCTGGCTGGATGCCTCTCACTGCAGGAGGAATGTCTCTGACTAATGATTCAAATGCCTTTTGCTTTCCTACAAGCTTTGTTAACTGAAATAGTTGTAAGAATTCCCAAATAGTTAACCTATTCAAGGATTTAAGATTCTGTTTTAAGATGACATACACCTCAGCGCTCCTGGAAACTCTGTCTAAAACAAGCATTTTCCTGTCTTCATGAGGAGCACAGAATAAGGACAATTCAATTCTTTTCGACTGAGACCCTATCCACATGTCAGGCTCACAACACACCATCCAATTCTGCAGGTAGGGTCCACGTGGAAAACAAACTGATGGAGATGACCTGTGTGGAAGCTGGGCTGAATCCAACAGGGCTCCAGGAGAGACCCTAAAGATGGCTTTCAAGGTTTTCTAGATATACAATTTAAATGTTATTCATTCACGTTTTTCTGATTAGCAGAAAGCAAGGTGGGGACCACAGCTAATCAAAAAACAAACACTGTTATATTCCACAGTGGGAGTCCAGCAGTGTTACCAGAGGTACCACCTTCAAAGCTAATTTGGTGCAAAATAAGGAGAGAACAGCCACATGAGTGTTCACCAGATTAAATGGCCAGTGCTTCTATAAAGGGGGCTTTGCTTACCCAGGCGTCCCCAAACTTTTTACACAGGGGGCCAGTTCACTGTCCCTCAGACTGTTGGAGGGCCGCCACATACTGTGCTCCTCTCACTGACCACCAATGAAAGAGGTGCCCCTTCCTGAAGTGCAGCGGGGGGCCGGATAAATGGCCTCAGGGGGCCGCATGCGGCCCACGGGGCCGTAGTTTGGGGACGCCTGGCTTACACCCTTCTCTAAAATGCCAACAGAAGAGCGAAAACAATGCTCTACTAAGCAGGCTTGGAAAGGGACAGCAAAGGGTTGAAGTAACTTATATTCCCTTAAGAAAACAGTTTAAAAATATTTTCCAATTAATCCTAAGTAGGTGTTTTATTAAAAAACAGCAACATCCTTAAATGATCTCTTTTTACTGCACATGACAGAAAGACATGTAACAGAAAATATCAGGAAACAGAAAAGCTCATTGAAAATGTAGTTACGGCCGGGCGCGGTGGCTCAAACCTGTAATCCCAGCACTTTGGGAGGCCGAGGCGGGTGGATCACAAGGTCAAGAGATCGAGACAAACCTGGTCAACATGGTGAAACCCCGTCTCTACTAAAAACACAAAAAATTAGCTGGGCGTGGTGGCGCGTGCCTGTAATCCCAGCTACTCAGGAGGCTGAGGCAGGAGAATTGCCTGAACCCGGGAGGCGGAGGTTGCGGTGAGCCGAGATCGCACCATTGCACTCCAGCCTGGGTAACAAGAGCGAAACTCCGTCTCAAAAAAAAAAAAAAAAGAAAAAAGAAAATGTAGTTACAAAAATTATATAGAAAACAAGTACTTTAAAAGAAGAAACTGTAATTGTTAAATCATATGTAACTCAAAATCTTTCTTTATTCTTTTATTAATTAAACATCTATAATACCATGTTGTCAGATGGCTCTGAAATGTTTTTGTTTTTGTTTTTTGAGACAGAGTTTCACTGTCGCTCAGGTTGGAGTGCAATGGCACAATTTCGGCTCACTGAAACCTCAGCCTCCCAGGTTCAAGTGATTCTCCTACTTCAGCTTCCCAAGTGGCTGGGACTGACTACAGGTGTGTGCCACCACGCCCAGCTAATTTTTGTATTTTTAGTAGAGATAGGGTTTCGCTACGTTGGCCAGGTTGGCCTTGAACACCTGACCTCCAGCAATCGCCCATCTCAACCTCCTGAAGTGCTTGGATTACAGGCATGAGCCACCACACCCGGCCCTGAAATGTTTCAAAGCTTCTTTTTTATTCTATTATTTGTACAGTCCTCCAAATGCCACTCTGTTAATATAAAAATGCCTAGAAGTAAATTCTAAATTCAGTTTAATAAAGTAAAAGGTAAACAGAAAAACTATTAATTTCTAAGTTTCTCTCTAATTTACTTGAATAATCATACAATATCTGCACTGAAAAGGCCCTCCAAGATTGGCTCCACCCTCAATAGCACTAGAAGGAATTAAAGGCACCAGGAGGGTACCTGACTTGTCCCCAAAGCTGCGAAGGCTGCGGGGTGGCCTGAGGCTCACCTGGCATGACACCCAGCCCAGCACACTTCCCAGGATACCCTTCTCCTCTGAGCACCTTCCCCAAGCTTCCGTGTTGCCAAGTGCCCTTTCACTGGGTTTATCATTCAGAAAAGACTGAAACTACTACTGCTCAGCACCAAAGGAGAAAAATACTGTAGAGATTCCACTGCAGGTATTCTTCACCCACATTTCACAGCCAGTTCTACTGTACCTGAGATCTGAGAGAAAGTGCTGAATACGATCCACTCGGCTGAAGTGGTAAGTTCCCATTATTAGGCTACCACATAAAGTACAAGAAATGAGTCTCATGTTTCACGGGAGAAGGTGAATCTAAACCATGTGCAACCCCCATTAAAAACAAAATAACAAACACAACAGAGACTATCTGTTCCTACCTTTAGCTTAGCACAGACCAAGTTAGCTTTACAATACATAAATAGTAGGCAAAATACTGGCAAGGAAATTTTTTAGGCAGAATTAAGAGATACTTTTAAGACAGAATTCATCATGAAACTTTATTTTTAAAACTACACATTATCATAACCTAATATGTAATTTAATAACCCTACAGGGAAGAATTTAGAATTAAATTCACACTGGAAGCTTAGCTATCTTTGTAAAGTCACAGTGGACATGCTGTAATCATATCAAGAGCACACTCAATGTTACTGCCCCTATCTCAATAAATTCCCTCCTGTGTAATTGATACAAATACTCTTAAAGTCTCAACAGCATCATCAAATGGTATTAAATGCTCAATTACGCAGCACACTAATGTTGTACTAGGCACAGTAAAAAGAAAGTAACATAAACCCAGTACCAGTGGGGTCAAATAACTCTAAAACTTACTTAAGGACAAAATTCCAAGCATCCATGTGTACAGAAAAGAAATGTGACTACAAGCCAAGAACCGGCATCTTTCCATTACTAGCAGCTATAAACTGGAAATGACAGCAATGGGGGAAGAGAATCATTAGATAGTGATGACACAGGGAAGGCAAAAGCACACAGGGTGGACACAAAAACAAGATGAAAATTCTGCAAATTTTTTAATTGCTGAAATTAAACTAGGTGAAAAATAGGAGGCTGGCAAGAAAGAAAAGGCAATCTAACAGCGAAAGTAGCTAGTAACAGGCACAAGGCCTGTCAATGGAGACAGCAATATGGTAGTTGGAACCTAATCCTAACTCTGCTTACCAGGTGACCTTGGGCAAGTCACCTCTATCTTTGAGGACTTACATATAAAACAAAACTCTGAGGCCGGGCACGGTGGCTCAAGCCTGTAATCCCAGCACTTTGGGAGGCCGAGGCGGGTGGATCACGAGGTCAAGAGATCGAGACCATCCTGGTCAATATGGTGAAACCCCGTCTCTACTAAAAATACAAAAAAGTAGCTGGGCATGGTGGCACATGCCTGTAATCCGCGCTACTCAGGAGGCTGAGGCAGGAGAATTGCCTGAACCCAGGAGGCGGAGGTTGCGGTGAGCCGAGATCGTGCCATTGCACTCCAGCCTGGGTAACAAGAGCGAAACTCTGTTTCAAAAAAAAAAAAAAAAAAAAAAACTCTGAATTAGATGAGTTCCGAGGCTCCTTTTGCTTCCAACATTGAGTCTATAATGCAAACTAATTCTTATCACCTAATCATAGGGAATTATGAACTTTCTGATTTTCTAAGGGTATGTGAACACAAGTGTAAGATGTATGGTACAGCTTGGAAACAGGATGCCCATCTCAACCATACCCGATTCTGGGAAAGCACCCATTTTGTTTATATTATCTTAAAGGCAGCTTCTTACCACAGCGTGGTTCCTGAGGAGTTCCTTTCATAAACAGCATGCAGGGGGCAGCATGAGTCAATTTCTTCAAGCGAAGGTTGAGATCTTCTTTAAGATGTTCATTAGCGCTGGGTGGGAAGGAGCCACTAGATGCATGTCGCTGAACTTTTTTGGTCAACTCTGGAGCATGTGCACCATCTAATCGGTCGATTTTCTGAGAATTCTAAAGTTTAAAAAGTTATTTAGAATACGTGCAGCATTCCAAACAGTTACATAGTTCAAATTTTTAAAGGAAACGACAGTATTACTGGAGATGTGAAAAAAGAAACCCTCATTGCCAGTTGCCTGAACTGCAACTCAGTTTTAGAAATACATAATAATTTTTTTCTTTTCTTGGATAAACACTGAGAAAATACTGCAACATCTCAGAGTCAAATCAGGTCAGTCTAACCAAATACAAAAAAGACTGCCCCCACACTGGCTGGGATGAATCTGTTATTAAGTATAAATGAGGTATTTGGGGAACTACCATAACACCCACGAGTGCCCGGAAGCTCAGATTTGCACCTGCTTCCTAGAGTCATTCAACAAACCAGTACCAGCCAGAGGTTCCATTATGTCCAGGCACACGCTCTAAACAACCAATTCAACCAACTCAGGTAGCACTGCAGTTCCACAGCCACATATCTGGATTTTGATCAGGAAGCTCTGATTCTGACTGCTGGCACTGCACAGTCCATGCCACTTTCCTAAGATGTTGGCAAGCAGCTGGCACGGTCTTCTTTCTCAGCATTGGTGCAAAAATTGAGACTATCAGAAGAAAGGCAAAGGGCCAGAAACCGCCAAATAACCTAATATTCGGGGATTAGACAGAGGGTAAAGAAACAGGTAGCCCCACGGCACCTTATAAATGGATGATCTCTTGCGCCACCTTTATACTTACCTTGAAAAACAGAAAAGTGGGAACAGAGCTAATTTCATATTTTTCAGATACTTCAGGAACACCTTCAGCTTCCAACTTTAAAATGAAAGAATTCAAACTTGATTATTACAAGGTCCTTTTTCACTACTTCAGTATGTAAATCAGTTTCACATGCACTATCCCTTCAAGTAGCTGGCATTTTTAAAGAGTATGGTGCAAAAGTTTATGACACATTTACATTTAAATGAGACTCACTGGGCTGGCATGTCATCCACTGAGTCTGCAGTGTCAAAACAGGTTCAGAGGTTTTTATTTTGTTGCACATTTCAAAAGATGCCTGGAGGCTGTGAATAAAATTTTTGGTGCACTAGTGACCTAGTAAATTTTCAATCATATGCAGCTACTACTATATTGAAATCCATAAATCACTGACCCCAGTTATGTCATGATTACAGTGCTTATTTTCTGCCCACAGCAATTCTTGCTGTTTGCTCTATTGACTAATTTCAAGAGGCAGTACATCATGACTGACAGTTGCAGCCTTCTGCAAATTATGAAGCAAAAAGGACTATTTCTTCAATAAACTATTGATGTCTGATAAATTTTGCTTTTAACTCCTGCAAGGCCTGGACACTAGGCAGATACCTTGTTAGGTTACTTGTTTCTAGTCTATTTATAATGCAAATTCCTTTTAAATAAGATTACTGCACTGTGTTTGATAATTTCCTTGAGGCCCCTCAACAAAACAGGATGTGGTATCTGATGCATGAATTCAAAACATATTTAGTGACACAATTTCTAAATTATTAGAGCACAATTATTGTAAGCTATTTATGTAGATCTTTGTAAATGATATACTTTGAGAAATACCAAGATATATCCTTCCCTCATAGGACTGTCAATTTAATATCAACTTTTTGAAACCAATAAAAATCTGTATTCACATTATACCTATAGGAAATAAAATTTATTGATAAATTATATTGTTAAAAGTTTTTAAAATATATATGCTATATTTTTCCAAGAGTGAAAGATTTCCACTGGGCCTGAAAGACTATTTTTATCTGGAACCTTACCCGGTCAGGTTATATCTACCCAAATAAATAAAGCTTGCAAACAAAGTGGGAAGCAGAGTTACCTGTCTTTGGTTTTTATCTTCTATCTGCTACATTCTTGGATGCTCTTTCACTATCTTAATTTTTAAATTTTTAGAAAACCCTTTTGCAGAGCTGGGTGCAGTGGCTCATGCCTGTAATCCTAGCACTTTGGGAGGGCTCAGTGGGTGGATCACGAGGTCAAGAGATCAAGACCATCCTGGCCAACATGGTGAAACTCCATCTCTACTAAAAATACAAAAATTAGCTGGACTTGGAGGCACATGCCTGTAGTCCCAGCTACTTGGGAGGCTGAGGCAGAAAATCGCTTGAACCCAGGAGGTGGAGGTTTCAGTGAGCCAAGATTGTGCCACTGCACTCCGGCCAGTTCACAGAGCAAGACTGTCTCAAAAAATTTAAAAATACAAGAAGAGGCCGGGCACGGTGGCTCAAGCTTGTAATCCCAGCACTTTGGGAGGCCGAGGCGGGTGGATCACGAGGTCAAGAGATCAAGACTATCCTGGTCAACATGGTGAAACCCCGTCTCTACTAAAAATAAAAAAAAAATTAGCTGGGTATGGTGGCACGTGCCTGTAATCCCAGCTACTCAGGAGGCTGAGGCAGGAGAATTGCCTGAACCCAGGAGGCGGAGGTTGCGGTGAGCCGAGATCGCGCCATGGCACTCCAGCCTGGGTAACAAGAGCGAAACTCCGTCTCAAAAAAAAAAATAAATAAATAAATAAATAAAATAATACAAGAAGAAAACTCTTTTGTAACAGCATTTTTAATCATTTCCATTTTTAAACGTACTTATATGAAAATTCTATAAATTTTAAATCAACAAATAATCTGAAAAAAAGAAAAAGATAAAAGCATTCTGAGACAGCTATTTAGAACAAACTCTGAAAAGTTTTAAAGACATATGTGCTACTTTCTTTCACATACACAACAGCACACTCAGATCAAAGACGACCAGAAAAGCTGATGACCAGGACATGCCTACACTACTACCCTCCAGCTCGTTATTTTCTGTCTTTCAACTAACATACATGGAGTGCCCACTACACACTGGGCACTGTGCAAGAATCAGAAAAGGGTCCTTTCTTTAGTACTACTGAATTCTAACCAAAAAGTAATACAAATCCCAAAAAGGATAATGCTAAGTAGAAGGAAGGTAACATGGTCTTAAATCAGTACAAAACAGGTAGCACTCTGACTCAGAAAAACAACTTCCTATCTACTTTTAAATCTGGTTTCTTAGCCGAGCATGATGGTGGATGCCTGTAATCCCAGCTACACAGGACGCTGAGGCAGGAGAATCGCTTGAACCCAGGAGGAGGTGGTTACAGTGAGCTGAGATCACACCATTACACTCCAGCCTGGGAGACTGAGCGAAACTCTGTCTCAAAAAAAAAAAAAAAAAAATCTGATTTCTTCTTATATTCCTGCTGGTTTCCAGTGCAGCTGCAATTCTTCTGGGAACCAAATGACCTCTTACAATTCCTGCTGAAAGCTGAGAACTGTCATAACTGCCTCCACTCAATCAGCTCCCAGAAGGAGATCTTCATAACACAGAGGCAATGGTAACAGACAAGTCTTCAGAAGAAGGGAACAGGAATCCCATTTAAGGCAAAAGAGTTCTCCAGAAGATCAAGGGCATCTGAAGTCCTAAACTCCTGCAGCACTAAAATTCATTAGAAATATTTTTGTTGGATTTAACATAATAGTTTTAACAATGAAAATAGAAAATAAATATATAAATATGTTTAAAGGATCTGCATTCAGAAGAGCTCAAAAGATGATGAGAAATAGCTATCATTCAGGGACGACCTACTCTGTGCCACAGACCATGAGAAGACCTTAACATGAAACAGCTCAGCCTACAGACAATTTTGAAAGGTGCAAAATTTTAGTGTTATCATCTCAACTTAATCAGTGGTTCAAGAGGAGGTGCAATGGCTGTTTAAGGTTTCAACTTGACTGGGTTAAGAGATATCCAGACAGCTCTTAAAACATTACTTCTGGACATGGCTGTGAGGGTGTTTCAGGAAGAGACCGGCATTTCAATCAGTAGAGTAAGTAAGGAAGATCCATTCTCACCCAGTATCGGGGGACACCAGCCAACAGGTTGATGGCCTGAAAAGAACTAGAAAAAAGCAAATTCTGTCTTTTTCCCTCGTTCTCCCTGTCCCTCCTTCTCCTCCGCACACATGCTCCCCTACCCCCCACCCCTCCTGTCCCATCTCTCCCTCCTGGAGCTGGGCTATCCACCTTCTGTCTGTGGACATCAGAGCTCTAGGTTCTCCAGCCATTAGACTACAGGACTTGCCCCAGGGGCCCCCCGGGTTCTCAGGCCTTCAGACTTGGACTGAGCTATGCCACTAGCTGCCCTAGTTCTCCAGTGAGTGGAGGGCAGATGGTGAGACTTCTCAGCCTCCTAAATCCCCCTCATCTATCTGTACCTTCCCTATTAGTTAGTTGTTTCTCTAGAGAACCCTAACACAGAAGGTAACTTGGGTAACTTGCCCAAAGATACTTGGCGAACAAATGGCAGAGCTGAGAAAGAAAACCAAGTTTGTTTGACTGTAAAATCTGTGCTTTTATCACTATACCACGGTTAATTTTTTCTACTACTACAATCAAAAAGAAAGATTACATGTCAAAGTAGGATTTATACACGACTTCAAGACCAATCAAACACGAATATTTCCAAAATAGAATCGAGATAAAATGCCTCAAGTGGAAACCACTTGCTTCCTACACCAAGAGTCCAAACTTTGGGACCAGTCCCACCGGCTGTCTTTGTAGAAGGAGAGAAAGTGCAAGAGAGACATCAGGTAAATCCAAGGTGGGGAATCCTCTCTCTATTCTACTTTTATTGAGCAGGGGTAATCAGCGACCACTATGATAGTAACAGCGAGTAGCTACAATTTACTCTGGGTCAGACACTGTTCTAAGTGCGCTTCATGTGTAGACCAATTTAATCCTCACAATAAAAGGAACTGTCTTTAACGTCTATTTTAAGGAAGAAACTGGAACTTAAAGAGGTTCCATAACTTGGCCTAGATCACTGCCATGATTTGAATGTATATGTCCCTCCTAAATTCATATGCTGGAAATTAACATCCAAGATGATAGCAATTAAGAAGGGCCTTTGGGAGGTGATTAGGCCATGAAGCCTCTGCTCTCATGATGGGAACAGTGCCATGATAAAAGGGTTTGAGGCTGGCGAGTCCCTTTTTGCTCTTCTTCTCCTGCTGCCCTGTGAGGAACACAGCAACAAGGTGCCATCGTGGGAGCAGAGAGCAAGCCCTTGCCAGACACTGAATCTGCTGGTGCTTTGATCTTGGACTCCCCAGCCTCTAGAACTGTGAGCAATAAATCTGTTACTTAAAAATTGCTCAGTCTACGCCAGGCGCAGTGGTTCACACCTGTAATCCATCAACAGGTGTTCTGGACTCCCCTCCAAAATACAGTATAAGCCCACTCAGACCAGGACATCATTTCATCTCTCACCTGGCCTAGTAGCCTCCTAACCAGGGTACCTGTTTCTATTCTGCATCCTTCCCAGTTCAAACCATTCTCCTCCCAGGAGCTGTGCAACTGATTTAAGACAGGAATGCAACTGTGTCATTGCTACTGCACTTGGAATAAGATCTGAATGTTATCAATCCCCACAAGGTCAACGACCCTTGCCTGCCACTCCAACCTCATGTCACACTCTCCTCTCCCTCACCACCCTCCAGCCCCACTAGCCTTCTGCTTGAACACCCTGCACTTTGGTTAAAAGCTCTTCCTAGCTCTCCCAATAGCTGGTTCCTTTTCATTTTTCAGATGTCCCTGCTGGCCCAGTGGCTCACACCTGTAATCCGAGCACTTTGGGAAGCCAAGGTGGAAGGAATGCTTGAGCTCAGAAGTTTGAGGGTGCAGTGAGCTATGATCATGCCCCTGTACCCTAGCCTAGGTGAGAGTGAGACCTATCTCTTAAAAGGATCTCTCTTC